ATCACGATTTGTTGTCTGCCCTCGGGCTTTTGGTCATGACCATAAAATTGATGATGCCCTCGCCAAATAAATATTATGGTCATGACGACCATCCCTTGTGCAGGCAACAAATCGTGAATAGAATAGAATAGAATAGAATAGAATAGAATAGAATAGAATAGAATAGAATAGAATAGAATAGAATAGAATAGAATAGAATAGAATAGAATAGAATGATGAAAATGTGATTCGGCTACGGAATTGTTAAAATGTGAGATATTGATACATAAAATAAAAATGACTGTCCGATATAATGTGTATGTGTAAAGTTTGAATTTGATTGGCTGAAGGATGTGTGAGATATGGCTGGGTACGAACGGATGTACAGACACTAACACGCACGCACAGAGGTCAATCTATATGCTCCCCTTTTTGGATTTCGTCAGAAACTAAAAAGGGAAAACCGGAAATAGTGAACATTTCCTCACAGTGGGAATTACTTTCTTTTCTCAATTTCTGAAGTTGTGTACGCCTGTAGACGCGATGATGCATGCCGGCAGACTGGACATTGAAATGAACATATGAGAGATATGTATTTATATAAAAATATGTAGGGATCATGAGTCTATGTAGAATTGTCAAATTCAAATTGCGTCAGTTAGCTGGTTTCCAAGAAAAATAAATAAATTGTATATAATTGTATAATTTTAGTTTTCCGAATTACAAATTCCAAAACTATTGTAAAATGTTTTTAAAGATCACTTTATAATATACAATATACAAGTTGCGTCAATGACGTGCCAGTGGATAAGCTCAACTAGTTGTGTCAGAGCAAATATTTGTGCGTCAGTGGCGCGTCACATCGATCTAGAGGGCATACTGCTCCTTCCATTTTAATGTGAAATTTCCTCATGGTCCCAACACACGAATAACTAGTGGAGTTCTAAATTTACTATATGTAGCATTGTGAAGCCATCCACAGCGTAGATAATGTTTTGAAAACCAATATTTTTGAAGAATGTTCTTGAATTTTAAAAGACGAAAGATTTAACAACCAAATGTGTATTTGAACAACATTGCTTAGACCCATCTACGTCATTATTACGTCATTTGTGCGCTAGAGGTCGCGACTATAGAAAAGGCTTCAAATATTTAGTCACATGTTAGTGTGTACAATGGTGTTACGGCAGTTACTCTGTTTAATCTAACAACAATAAATTTGGAGTTGTCGCTTTTCAATTACTTTTGATCAGATTCATAATTCTTTTTGATAAACAGCTTGGAAGAAAGAGGAAATCTGCGTGTACGATCGCGACATGAAATCATTCCGATGGATTAATGAGTTCCAATGGCCGGGTAAGTGAATACACATGTATGGTTGCACGTACGTGAGTCCGTGTGATTAAAATGGTTATTTTCTTGACGATGGAACTCAAAGCAATCAACACTTTGAAATGGTTCTATTGAATTTAGTCGACTTCATCTGGATTAGTATGATAGCACAGTTTATGTATCCTTCATTTGAATTATAACGAAATCTGTATGGTTGAATTGATGTATTGTCCTCGATTTTAAACGTAGAGCAACAAATGCCGAACAAATCAGGTCAGATGTGCTATCCGTGCGTCCATACTGGTTAGTGGTATGGTATTAACCTATTTTGCATATTTAATCATTTCTACAACGCTTATGTCTCATCATTGCTGGGAAAGGATTGACCAGCTTTGTTATTAGTCCAAGAAAAGTGTTCCGCTTGGAATGTGTCTGAACCCCTCATTTAATATGCAAGAATGTAGGAATGTACCAAGAAAATTGTTTTTCTGGAGTAAATTGTAGTGTATTCACGATTTAATTATTTGTGCCTGAGCTATTCTCCTATGAATTGCTCCCGGTCCACTTCGGAAGGTTCGCAGTGTAGTAGAAAATGTAACAGCCTCACTCTAGTTTAATATAAAAAGTTTCTTGAGATTTGTGTTCTCCCCCCAAAAAATTCTGAAATTTAAAATGTGTCTAAATTTGACTTAATGCTCGTTCGTGTCAGCCGAGATTCGCAACTATGAGGGTATTTGCACTATCATGCGCACAAGAGTAAACTCAAACTATAATCTTTTACTTTCTGTTCTTTGTTTGAAACAACCCTCGAAGTAATGACGTCAGTGGTGTCCAGCGCTATTGCTATTTATAAAAAAAATATTACTCGTCGTAATGCAACCTACCTTTCTAATAAGAAGCGCCCTCTAGTGATGAGGCGTTTTATAATATTAAAATTGCGCCAATTTTGAAAGCACTATCATTCAAAGCAATAATTGTGTTCGGTTATGAAGACGTTTGTCTGAAATATAGTACGTCTCTTAAAAACAGCACATTTCATTGCCATGGATCAAATCAACATCGACCCAGGGGACGGCATCTTCTTCACGTTTTACTGAAGCGCTTCGTCGCTCGAAGGCGCGACTTATAAGAACATTTTGACACAGAAGGTACGCCTTTAATAAAGAAAACCACTATTTGTTTTCTTGTCGCAAACATTATTTAAACATAGTGTACTTACAATATTTCTTCAAAGGTGGGAGAACTCCGGTTGACGGTCCTACCTATATCAATATACCCGTTGTCATAGAAACTGTGAGCAGAATTGTGATGTTTTCATTGGCTTGTGTGGGTATTCTTGTTGCTGCTGTATTCCTGGTTCTCAATATAGCATGGAGAGATAGAAGGTAAGCAGAAATGTAGTTTTGACAGTACATTTACATCTACGTGTCAGAATATCAACAGTCACCTATCTCGTTGAGAGACAGATAATCACGTGGCAAGATAATGCCTTTCAAATAGTGTTCATTCTCTCCCGCCATTGCTTCAACGATTTCTCGACCTATGTAACATTTTGAAGCAGAGGATGTGATGACCGAGAAAATGGGAAACTATTTAAGAGGAATAAAAATGTCTCGAGGCATTCTCGCTCTCAATAAGATTTCGCGATCATTCCTTTGATTTTAATAAATATTTGTGAATTTCAATAGATGTTCCATTCAACCAGCCAGTCAGCAACGCTTAAAATGTCCAAATGTTATAAAATAGGCCGATAGAAATCTCTCATTTCAGTTTGAATTGTGAAATGTATAAATATTTATAAAAAGTAAAGAAATACGTTTGTGTTCGCGATAGTATTTCTTTCACTGATATCAAATTTTCCATGTACTTGTGTGATGGTCAGTCGTTTGTTGGTTTTATATCTGATACTTCTCGATACAGGGTAATCAAAATATCATGCCCACCTTTGAACAACGTGATTGCCGTTGGATGTATGCTTCTCTACTCTTCTACGTTCTTGTTCGGCATTGATCTGAGTTTCCTCGGCGACTGCGCAGTAGGTTACATATGTCAGGTGAGACTTGTTATTTAGTACCCGGATGTAATGACGTTCATATCACAAACCGCACGTGTCATAAGCAGGGGTGATGAACAACGTGTACATTACTAAATTAGATTCATTTGTTTTGGTTCCTAATGTGTTAGTTGGGGTAAAAATTTTGTATTTATAAATATTTTATTATATGGAATTTTACGAATCGCAATGTTGATAACGTTATAAAATGAGCTGTTTAGTGCAGAAAAGTAGAAACTGACAGTCACAACTCAGGAGTAATTATAATACTGCAATGGATAAATTGTTGAAGTGAAGGAAATGCCGGACTAGTTTGCACTAGCAGAGTCTGTTGCACAAGAAAGTTCTTTGTTGAGACCTCTTCTTTTTCGGTTCATGAAATTTCACGAAATGAGTTAGTCGCCTAAAGTGTCGTCTTCTTTATTTTACAGTCGCAGTTAGTGAATAATGTATTCAGATACAAAGGTCAAACTTTGATATAATCTACTCCTTGATTAGCTATCAAATTACAAATCACGAAACTCATTACTATATTTACATAATCAAAATATTGTTGCCTTTGTCAGTGTCGATGTGGGTGAAATGGATTCTAGAAGTTCGGATGATTTCTGTACTTACACCACCATGTTAGTAAAACATAACCCAATCACCACGAGTGGGGAAAGTCTATATATACCCTTAAGCGATCAGAATTAAAGTTTAATCAGCATTGACAGATGGTATAATTGGAATAATATGATAAAAATATGAGCTTTGATTAGGATATTCTCAAGGAGAAATGATATGTTGTCTTGAGGTTAAAATACATTTCTTAAATAACTAAATCAAAAGGTTCATAGACTCATTATTCCTGCGGGTAAAATAATCATTTAAATTGGATTAAACTATTGTATAAATGACACCTTATTATTTCATAATACTGAATTGTTTCAATCTGAATTTTCCGGAAAAGGGGACTAGAGAATCACATTTCACGTTATTACGATAGAAAACGTATCTGATTTAAGTGTCCGAGGTCTCTTACTTTCAAAATTATATTTCACAGTAAAGACGGCATTTGATTATACACATGTTATTTATTTCCTGATATATATATATTTTTTTAAATGAGTTTTTGTTTTTAAAAATTGGGATTTATTGTGGACTTTAAAATCATCACGTATTACGTCGACGACATATTGCTGAAATATGTTTCAAAATAAATCACATGCTCATTGGGTTTCAGGTACATATGTTGTCTTGTCAGTCCTTCGGGAATCTATGTTTGGCTCAATATTATACTTAAAACCATAAACACAGGGCAATAAATTGTAAAACTTTATACACTAACCAATTATTTGGCAGCGTCAGTAGCCAATCAGCGGTAGCTTCACAGCTGTCAAATTTCAGCAGTAGTAAAGTACGAGTCATTATCCGACTGGCTATAATTCCCCTTCTGTAAACTTAAAGCATCTGCCCCGAAAATATCAGTGTTTTTGATGAGCAGGTGGAGTTATTTTAAACAGTGAGCCATGAAGCAAGTGTAGTTCTGGTTACTGAGTGGTCAGTATCAATAGATGATGGAAATGAAGGAATTATTTGTTGAAGGTGAATTGTGTTGACCTTATCCACTTTAATTTAAGTTGAGGCAGTCGGCCTATACGGTATGTAACATCGAGTTGAGTCGGGCTATGCCCTTACAGCGCTTTTCTGCCCTGTGACGTGACCTAAACGTATATGTAGTAAATCCATACACATTAGGGAGTGTTTATTGTGTGTCTGGTTCGGGTATGGGGTCAAAGTTCATACACAAAATTTATATATTGTTCTCACACACAGCTAGAGCTGTTCGTGGTATGTACGTCGATTTCATTGGCCTTTGGCGGATTATTTATGAAAACATATCGAATACACGCCATATTCTCAGCATCGATGAAGAAAGTGAGAAAAGTGGTAAGTTGAATTTATGTACTGTTTAATGATGCAGACAGCGAGTAGGCGAATAGTGTGACTATTCGAAAGTTTCGTCACTGTTGTCTATAGTGGTGTAGCAATGAGTATTTCTTTTTGGGAACAAATCTGCCGTTTTTTCGCTTTTTGTGAAAACGTGCGTGTAAATTTGGTTTTCTTTAAAGACGACAAGACAATACATATTGGTATTCGACGTGTGAATACATCTGAACTTTTCTATTTTTTTCCAAGTGTTGCTGTGCTTTCAAGCTCGGATAATTTCCAGTGTGCATAAAACACAGCAATCCTTCCATAGACACTGAAAATTACTACAAAAGGTTCGTTCATAAAGCTTGTAAGCATGAAAACAAGTGCGTTACATGTCAAATTGTTTGCCGCAGGGGGCGGTATACAGCGTTATCAAGAAAAGTGTATATGATATATACATAATATATGCAGTTATATTTTATAGATAACGAAATATATTCTGCGTACATGTGTATGTTTCCATTAGGCTCTATGTAGATGTGTTACACTGATGTTTGTCTAAATTACACGCTGTGCTTAATAATGTTATTTTATTTAATTCTCAGCGTGGTGTTACTAATGGTCGGTTACTTGGTGTGATTGGTGCTTTCGTCGTTATTGACGTCATAACTTTAGTTGTCTGGCACATAATAGACCCGATATATAAGACGGTGACATACCTTGATGCGAAAGTAAGGATCTATGATATTTTACGTCTGGAAGCGCTGTGACGCCCTCTAGAGTCGTATTCAACAAATCTGAGATAACGCAAGATGTGATACTAGTAGTTAACATCTAAGGGTAGCGCCGCAGTTGTTGCCCATGCGTAGCGCGTTAAAATATCGTGTATTTTGCATGTTCCATACGTTTTTTGCATGTGACCCATGTACGCACCCCGCGATGACTGTTATTTTTTAAAATTCGTGTACCAACACATGTCGTAGTTCAATCCCGTGACTGTTTCTTACAGTTTGACGAAGAAGAATATTGGAAGGAAATATGGCGTGTTCCGGAAGTGACGTTATGCACGTCAGATAGACATTTTCACTTCACACTAGCAATATACGTGTACAAAGGATGTATCTTACTATTTGGCGTTTTTCTAGCATGGGAAACCAGAAATGTTGCAGTCACGGAACTTAATGACAGTAGGTATTCTAGTAATAGTAGTCTAGTAGTCTGATTCACGCTGTACTTTGCCGCCAATGGTGTATCTTATAAAGATACGTTATATAAATATTGTCTGAGAACACACATTTTGGACAGAGATTACATTTTTTAGACAATTTAATTGGCATAGAAAATTAAATTTCTGGTCAGTTATCATTCTTTTAATTTTTTTCACTAACTTGTACCTCGTTCCAGGTAAATACATTGCAATGTCTGTCTATACCGTGGGAATCTCGTGTATAGTTGCGGTCCCTGTAATGTATATCTGGTACGAGGACACAAACTTTATGTTTATATTTATTAGCTCTATTGTCATGATTACCGCATCAGTTATATTGGGTTTAGTTTTTGTGCCTAAGGTGAGTTTCATTTTATTTCAATTCCGTATTTTCTAGTTTTACAGAAATATAACAATGTGACTTGAGTCGTTAAACACATACCCTATTTACGGCGCTCGGTAATTAGTTGGATGTTAATGGGGTTATTTTCATCGAAAACTAAAAATCTGTGTCGCGTATACCAGTTTGAAAAAACTGTTTCCATTTATGCACAACGCTCGATAAAATACTGTCCTATGAAATTCGTTACGTTCGAAGTTTGACTGGAAACACTGAATTTACTCGTCAAAATCGTCCTATAAATTTAGAAACAACGGAGACTAATGTTTGATTTTCATTTATTATTAGCTATGTAATAAATCATATTCATAGAATCGTCGAACAAACGTATAATTTAGTGCCTAGAAGGCGCCGCCAAAACTCAATCATACATCATCTGCAAGAATAATTTGTTTAAGCCAAATATTACATACACTTCGTGTAACACATTTAAATCACTTTTAAATTCTTGCGTCAAGGAATTCCTCTGCAATATAGGGAACATTGTAGCTTTGAGAGCATTTGTAAATTATCTAAATTTAAATTATGTAAATTAAGTAACCTTTGTGACGGAATATCAACCCTCAACTAATTTAAAAATAAATTGTCCTGCAAAGCTTACCATTAACAAGTGAGCTTACATCAGATAACGCATTAAATTCCCCAGATATTGAATAACAAACAGGGTGGCGAGTTTGAATCAGTTTGGCTGACTTCCGGTTAGCTTTAGAATTACTACTAAAGTGCAGTGGAGGGGTACCGTAGTAGGTGGCGGCGTTAACTGATGGCACATGGTTCTGGACATATCCTTGGAAGTATTTGGAGAATGTACTGGGAGAATGATTACTACCAGTATGCATACGAATCAGAAGCACATTCAATTACATTCTACCACAATCGTGTTTGGTAATGTTTCCAGTGCAATTCTCCGTAGAATCACACATGATCGATCAACGCTAATAGTGACTCTATAATAAACAAAACAAAACAATCATTTTGAAATGATAATTAGATAATACACTATTACACGTGGTTTGTATATGTCACAATCTCATGTCTAATTAAATCTCTTGTCATTGTTAGTTCGTTTTAGCTCACAAATATCCTGACAGAGTTATATCTACTTTATCCGTCTACTCCTGTACCGATACGCGTTCACAACTCTCGACATCGGCTGTGTTGACAGAACTCAGTAACAAGCTAATACAGGTAAATTATAACATGGCTAGTAGTGAATCTAGCAATCTTATTGGCTGAAACAAAATCGAAACTGAATAAACTGACTTAAATGTGTAACTGAATCGTGATCACACTGATCAATGTGATTGCGGGTGTGTGATCGCTCGGCTATTATATCCCGCCAGATATGCTAATTTTACCTAGGAATGTTTTATATCCGCTAATAAATTTCCTCGCTTACCGTTTATATCCTCTAAATGTAACACGTCTTGTATTAAACAAATTGTGAGAAGTCCCAGTTAAAATTGAGATAACTCTCAACATATATGTAGCACACAATTATAACAATACACTTTATTATAATGGTAATAATTCATATGATTTCCTCTGCTCTATAAACTGCCTTATTGTTCGGATGTACGGGGATCACATTCTGGTTTTCACTACTCATGCCATATCTAGCGTTATATGTTGGACCGAACAATCATAACGAATGATATTCACTGTGCTACCAAAGCCACGTGTTTAGTTTACGATAAATCGTATTGCATTGTGTCTTCAACATGCTGTATCTAAAACTAACAACCTCCATTGACTGTCGTTGTCTGCTGCGGTGATGTGAGTTCAACGACACGTGTGGTGCATGTTCGGGTTTTTCTAAGGTATCATTTGTTGTCAAGTGTACTTCGATGACGCCACTAATATTGAAAACTCTGGCAGTTGTATATTCAGCATAGTGGCTGTCTCAGAGCCAAGCTAACCAATATCGACACTCATATGCAATGCAAGTTGTACATTTTTTGCAGACAACTGGAAAGTATTGGTCCGAAATATACCATGGTTTGAAATAAAACTGCATGATTGTTTAAAGAGACATTCAACCCGGTTTTCAGCAGATTACCTTTTTATATATATTTAGGGTCTATTTTCCTAACCTTTTCTGTGCAATGTGGACTTCTGGGTGTGTACAACTGAATCTCCATATTTGTTTCAGTGTTTGAACTATTAATTTTTCTCTGGTTGAGCTCGAGTTTTGTACTATATCACATTCAAACATATTTAGCCCCAAAGAAAGAAAAAGACGATCTTACGTATTTTACAATCTATTACTTGAAGAGAATGTGTGACAAACAAAATGTCATAAAAATTTGATTATGCGGTGAAAGTCTGGAAATTGTCTTTGTGCTCCTAATTAACTTTTTGAGGAAAAACGCCGCCATGTTTGGAATAAAAATTATCCCAATGAATTAGTAGTTACTGGACATAATAAAAGCTTCCGGGTCCGGATTTGAACTACTGGGTAAACAAATCAATTGTGGCAGGAAAAGTCTATGTGTAACTGACTTTAGTGGGGGCGTGACCCATAGCCATCTCATGACTCCAGGTGATAGCATATAAAAGAATTTATCTTTCTTTTGCAGAAACAGTCGGAGTTGCGGGAGCTGCGAAAAAGAGCATACGATCTTCAGTAGCAGTGGACACGTGTATTTAAACATTTGAATGTATGCAATAAGATATGGTATTATTGACGGTATTTGCGTTCGCTGTGATTCTCTTGTAAGGACACGTGTTACGTGGAATATCATTGTTGAAATAAACAGTGTGAGAAGAGAGTACACATGATGATATGACTAGCAGAATGTTTATACATGAAGGATATCGCCAACCGCGTATAAATATCTATAAATATTTATCCAGATGGTTATTTACTAATCAATAACTACCACAGTTCATGCGAGAATACACCTGTACTCATGAGCATCCGGAAAACGTGTGCTCGCTCGCTGGCTAATACTAAAAATATAACTGACGTAACCCTATATTATAGCACTTGAAATAGATCAGCTAAGGGGACGTGCGCAGTCGATGAGGACATTTCAACTCTAACTGTGGTACTATACTGTAATTGTCGGCAATTTGTCGTGAATCTCAAGGGAGTTTGCGAAATTATTTCAACACTACAACAATTATAAATACGCATTTCGTTATTTTAGTTTGTGTTAACTCGTTTATTTGTCCGAATCAAATATTGTCACGACTAGTTAATTATATGATGTGACCCCTGTTGACCTCATCTGAATTCTTCAATTTCACGTTTCAATCCTAAAATTCGTGATCATCTTTTAATGGCATTTCCAGATAAATCAGAGGTTACTACTAGGAAACTACATAATCTGCATATAACATACGTAATTAGACATGTCTGCTTTGAGCCTATTTTATATTCTATTTTATTCTATTCTATTAGACTTTATTGCAGCAGATGACTTCAACTTTACAATCAACATTTTGCCCATTTTTATCATCTACTTTTGGTGATAATTTTGGACCAAATAGATATGATTTTCTATTAACAACATGTTGGGAAAGTGTGAAAACAAATGTGGATTTCACTTTGTGAAAGAGGACAATAGTAAATATCTCACGCTGCTTTTTCTAGAGATCGACAGCAGTTTGACAGATACAGCTATCATTAAAACTATTACGAAGATGATTAACTGAGTTGGAATCAATGTCGTTGACGTCATATTACGTCACGTGAGGTCTCCGAATCGTCATGAAAACGAGGCTGACAATGTCAATAGCGTACATCACCTACAAAGACTCCAAACTCTATATTTGACAACATCCAGCAGATACAATCCTCATTGTTCCAGCTAACTAAAAAAAGTGGATACCCTAGCAGGTATGGAGAAAACAATGGCTGAATTTGAAAAAAAAAACAGTTCAGTTCGTTAATAATTTCTTTGAAGATTTCAAACGTCAGCTACTAGCATTCCCAACGAAAACGCAGAGTTGACTTGGTTTCCTTCTAATATTCTTATGAATTAACTTTTAATTTGAAATATTTGTTCGTTTACTTCAGTTATTTCGATTGCATAATAATTAATTACTCATTAGTTAGTGTAATGCGTTATGATGTGTAAACTATGAAATACAGGTGCTTTTATACAGGTCAAGCAAATTTATTCATTACGGGGTCACAGACTCGATTAGTTCAACAGGACTACTTCTGTGATCTTCTGTGAAGAGTTTTCGCTTTTAATTTGTTTTCATTTTCCGTTTACTATTTTATTGTCATTTGAATTGTCAGTACTCATTTGTGTTGTTCGGTGATATAAATAAATAAATATAATTACAAATATAAATAATATATTAGATAAATAAATAATAAATGGCGGATACAACATGTGGAGACATGTGTTTGTTTTTCGAAACGCAAGACATAATTTTTTGTTTGTGGACCTTTGGGTCTATATTATCTTTGATTTAATAATGTGCCATTGTGTACGTTTCGGTTGTACGAATGTATATTCATAAAAAAGCATATGGTAAAGGTGTCCAATGTATTTTTTTCTGGACCGGTATTTTTTTACGAATAAGTCAAAGGGGACAAATAGTGCCTGCTTATATTTGTATTGTTACTAACCCAGAACACTCGAATGTATAATTGGCTTGTTATGCAATATGTAATATTGACTGTTCCCAATTCGTATACACTTGACGCGATTGGTCACAGATTTTAAAATCATAATTTGACAATATTGTGAAACTGATATGGGTATTGAATTTCAAAAACTACAATTACAAACTTAATACTTCAAAATACTTCAAATGAGTTTCATATGAAATATCTGCCAAAATGTATCTATAATGATTGTAATTATGGAAACACGTACACTTTGGTTAAAAGTTTTTGTTTAATTTCAGATTAATATCTAAAAGTGAATCGCTGGTTTTAATTGAAATTGAATTATTTAATAATAATTATTAAAAAATGCATTCATTTTTAATTAATATTAACATTGAATTGAATGAATGGGTTGCAAAACTTGAAAAGCACACACTCAGTTTGGTCAACTATGCAACATTCAAACAAATTTGAAGAGTGATTTATTTAGATTTTAAAATCAAATAGAAAAGACCATGATCAAGGCATGAAAGCCTCGCAAATGAAGCAATTCAATTCATACTGGTATTGGAGAAGTTGCTACAGCTGACTACTCTCAAGTATCAGGCCATTTCAAATCCAGTTTGTTTTCACTAAAATGCCATTCACATTAACTATTATTCTGATATCAGTTTGAAGTACAAGCATGTCGTCCCCTGCAAAATAGTTTATTTTTGTCAAAATAGAATAAAATTCAACAAATTGTAATTGCAGTGTCACTAATATACTAGAAAAATGTTGACATTCCTTTACTAGTGCGATGAAAAGCAAAAATACGTATGTTAATTAATTATGCGAGTCAGGAGTGATAATGTTGATGTTAGTTTGGCTATGGGTAAAACCACTGACTAGTGACGTGAATGATTGAAACCTGGTTAGAAATCTCGCATGGTCAGGAAATGTTGCAATGTTCTAAATTTGAATGAGAAGGTCGCATGCCACAACCTCATGGCAATTATATGATATGAATTGTAAATTGAAATAGTTATCCTTTGGTAGAAATAGTTGTCATCGGAAACATTTTAGTTACGGTTTTAACTGGGTTTAATGTATCCATTTAGAATCCCCTGGGTATGTTGTTGTTTGATGAAAAGATGTATCTACGGAGGTTAGACTGATTGAAACTTGGTCAACTAAAAATATTTACTTGCCTTCTCAGTAGATCATTTTTAAATCGCGTCTGATATCGACATTGTTTCTTATTCCAGATGCAAATATCCAGTGTGATTGCATATCGGTATATTCTAAGTATGCAAGGACTTGCATTGAAAGACTAGATTGACGTTATTAAACACTTGTTATTAGGTGATGAAAAATAATTAATAGAATAATGAATTATGAAAAGGCTACTAAAAATTGCAACCATGTAAATATTTACTTGGTACAAGATAATGCACTTTATTATCAAGTATAATGAAGGTTTCGGTTATTACATAACTACCACAAAACGAAGTAAGTTACGATGAAGTGAATATTTGTAAGTAATTGACAAGATTACTTTTTCGGCCTTACTGTGACAATGAAGTAACGGAAAATTGATGTTACTAAAAGGCGAAATTGCTAATGTATTGTAATGTAACTAGCGTAATAAAATGGGGCTCACAATCAAGTACGTAATGTACAGTATAACAGTATAGCAATACAATTTATTTCTACGCTGTTACTAGAATAATGTATTCAAGGGAATCAAATCAATCAGGAATTGTAAATTCTAAAATTATCCGCATTAAACTACTTAATATTATCGACGCTCTAAACACAGATTATAAAAACCTTAGACTATATGAATAACAATTCTGAAATATTACTCGCAATGTTACATTGCACCGATCAATGAACTAATGCACAATATTAGTATATATATATATATATATATATATATATCAGACCTTTCTTTCATAAACATGTCTTTCCTATTGTGGTTTAGGCCCTCTATAGTTGAGATCAGATTCTTTATTCTACTTTGTTTTTGACGCAGAGGACGCTATTACAAAAATCATGGTCACGGATTGGCTGATTGTGTTCAAATGAAGTATTTTGACAGCTGGTGTATTATGCAGCATTAAAATAGTTATGAAATTCTTTCGTTTTTATCCAGAAAAATACAGTATTTTTAAAAATCATATTTATTATTGTTCATACATGAGTTGTTGAACACACTACACAGTTTGTAATTTCATTCAGCTTCTTTCAGTCATAATTCAAGACAAATAAAAGACAAAAATATAGATAATATAGCAAATTATCTTTTTTTCACAATATTCTTGTGTAATCAGCAATTATGAAAATTATGTATGGGTTCATAGGGAATACATATTGCTACGATTTATTCTTAATATAAATTTCTGAATTATCTTGCAAATTCAGTTTTTTTTTCTTCCAAGACCAAAATTGTTTTTTCTAAGGGCGGGGTTATTTATTAAAAAACGTGAAATGGGTTTATGGTGGGATGGAGTTTAAGACCGTTTCATATTACAGATATCTCGGAATCGTATTCTCCTGTAGATTCCATTGGCCAGTATCTACAAAACTATTAGCAAAGCAAAGAAAACAATATCCTTTCCTTTTTTAAGGCCAGTACATTATTACTACCCCGACGATATACTACTCTCTAAAGTAGAAGGGGTCGTCGCATGCACATGCGCATGCGCGGGAATTTAGTCTCAAACGACGATAACAACGCATGTCAAAACGCAAAGGCTCATGGGTAGACGCTTATTTGTAAACAACGACACGGTGTGGCTGATTCCCGCATGCGCAGATGATGAGTGTCATTACTAGATTACATGGTGTTCTCACGTTGCTACTAGATTTTCCATATGCATTTCCTGGTGGTCAATATCTCAAAGGTCAATTAATGAAAAGTCTATTAACCTATTCAATCAATGTCAGGTACTCATAGGTCAATTAATCAAACGTCAATTTCCCTAGGTTAATTACTGAATTACTTAGATGTCAGTTACTCGTGAAATACCTCTGTGCTCATTGACCCCCGTTTGATCTGAATTTCGATTGGTAAAA